CAGGCACTTAGGGGAGAATGTCATTTTTTGGTCCTATAAAATGCCAGTCGCTCGTCCAAAATGTTTATTTACTGCGATAAATGCCAGGCTAGGACGGCGTGAAGAGGCTGATATTGTGACATTTGACGCTGTTCTCTACGCGCCATATAATCCGCCGTAATGGACTTTCTCCAACTGTCTTAAAGTCGTTTCTACCGTGAAATAAAACTCAAAGGACCGGCCTGTTTCAATAGGAGAGGTCTGTGGACTGGATTCCAGGAAAACGTACATGCTACAAGGCCTTACGCTTTTATAAAACAAACCATTGTAATTTTACCAAAGTTGAGATTTTCAATAGGTTTATGTCTATTCAAATTAAACACTTATTTGCGTTTTGTAGGAAAACGTACATGCTACAAGGCCTTACGCTTTTATATAACAAACCATTATAATATCACCAAAATTGAGATTTTCAATAGCTATAATTTTACCAAAATTGAGATTTTCAATAGCTATTGGTTTATGTCTATTCAAATTAAACACTTATTTGCGTTTTGTAGGAAAACGTACATGCTACAAGGCCTAACGCTTTTATAAAACAAACCATTATAATATCACCAAAATTGAGATTTTCAATAGCTATAATTTTAACAAAATTGAGATTTTCAATAGCTATAGGTTTATGTCTATTCAAATTAAACACTTATTTGCGTTTTGTAGGAAAACGTACATGCTACAAGGCCTAACGCTTTTATATAACAAACCATTATAATTTTACCAAAATTGAGATTTTCAATAGGTTTATGTCTATTCAAATTAAACACTTATTTGCATTTTGTGGGAAACACGAGTGAAAGTTAACCTACGTTACCTTACGATTTAACAGATCTCTCAGCAATTATCACACATAGTGACTTTTCACATTTTATGTGTTTTGTTTTCTTCTAAGACGTTATGTATTACATTCTAATTTTAGTATATGGGGTTTCACAAATCCGATTTGTGTAACTGTACAGTCACTCAGAGAAAGTTGCTGCGGTTTGTTCTTTGAGTTCTCTCTAAGGCCACAGCACGTAAATTTTATGGATGACATCCTCCACAGACTCTAAATCTAATGCGAGCGGGCGAAAAAAAAAGACAGGCCGAAAAAAAAGGTTCCTACATTTTAAAATTTTGACTAAATCATTGTACAAATGGTTTTGATTCAGTGGGAACATCATATATACACAGCCAGCATCACATATCACTGCATCAAAGTAAGAAACAAAACATTAAATCAGAGCCTTTTCTGGTCTCCTCTCTTCATAGTTATCTGCCATCCACCTTCCGGCATGGCAACAGACATCTTTGCCCATTTTCGGCATGCTGACCACTGTCGGAAGGCAACAAAATTTCTTGTTTTTTTTCCAAACCAGGCGAAAATTAATGCGTGCGCTGATGTCATCCATAAAAATTACTTGCTGTGGCCTTACATGTATGTACTTAACCCCTTGTTGTGGCTGAGTACGTTTTGTCTCACCTGACTTTCAGACAAGCTCAAACATAAGAAGACCTAAACATTCTGGCACGAGCATATATTGCGTCTGTTTCAAACCACTTGACTTAACGCGTTCATACTGTTAATAATAGACTTAATGGCGAACGAGAGCGGCACATTTTAAGTGGTCAGTCGACGTCGTGTCTTACGTTCGTGGCTTGCCTAGCTGTGAGTGGAGTGTATATTGATCAACAGACAGTCTGAACTCGTGAAAAAAGTTCGAGTTTTTCTCAAGTCGAGGTGAGATTATTTCGGGGACCATTCGCAATCGTCACGCGACCGTCATACGAACGCAAACTGAGGGCGTTTTTGGGATAGTTTCACAAATGATGTTCTGTTTTTCATCAATGATACCTGTACATGTACACTTAAAGAACTAGAAATCAGCATCAAAACAGAAACACATTTTCTAACCATACTACTGCTGGATAGTAGATCTTTATAAGAATGACTGACTAACTGACTGACTGACTGACTGACTGAATGAATGACTGACTAACTGACTGACTGAATGAATGACTGACTGACTGACTGACTGACTGAATGAATGACTGACTGAATGACTGACTGACTGACTGACTGAATGAATAAAATATCTTTATATCGTACGTTTATGCTCTTAATAGTTAAGTACATGTTAAGGATAAAGCATAAGTAAAATTACAATGATATCTTACTACAACTATAAAATTAGCGCTTAAAAGTTGAGAACAAAACTGCAATTTCGTACAACTGTAAAAAAAAAGAATGATAATAATAATAATAATAATAATAAAACAGTGTCCGCGTCTTATTTCAGTAGCATCTGGCAGGTTGAGCCGCGCGCTTATTAAAAATGTAAGGGGAAAAGCCGGGCTCGGCTACGGATTGTTGGGCGATGTATAAGCGCGGCATGCTTGGCCTATGGCCCAAATCCTGGCCCAGGGTTCCCGCCATTCTTCACTCACAGGATCGACGCTTGGACGCTTCCGAGACGGACTCGGCCCAAACCACTGCGCGTTAGCTACTTCTGCTCTCTCCATAATTTATCTACAAACTGAACGGACACTGAAACTCTGTATGCTATTTAATATTATTGTTCGTTGTGTGCGAAATTGTCGGTGGGATTATATACTACAATACTATAATAGACAACATGACGATAGCTACTTTTTTCTCTCTCTTCATAATTTATCTACAAACTGAACGGACTTAGAAAGCTTAGAAAACGCTGCTTTGTAGTACGATGAAATGACATAATTGTCCGTGGGATTTTATGCATGCTAGAGAGTTCTGTCGAATAGGCATTCAGCAGAACGACAGCAACTTTTGCTCTCTCCATAATTTATCTACAAACTGAACGGACTTAGAAACGCTTAGAAAACGCTGCTCTGTAATATAATGAAATCATTTTATGCATGCTAGAGAGTTCTGTCGAATAGGCATTCAGCAAAACGATAGCTACTTTAGCTCTCTCCATAATTTATCTATAAACTGAACGGACTTAAAAACGCTGCTCTGTAATATAATGAAATGAAACAATTGTTCTCTGTATACAGCATTGTCTGTGCATGTGGGATGGCATGCTATAGAGTTATGTCAAATAGGCATTCAGCAATGATAGCTAGGTTTTGCTCTCTCCATAAAGCTATGGACAAACTCCAGTTCACTGAAGGTTTAGAAACACTGCTGTACAATGTAATTGTTGGTTCTGTACGGAATTGTCGGTGGGACGGTTTTCTAAACGGAGTTGTGCTGAATAGGCGTTATATACCGCAGGGACTTTGTGCCTTGTACCGCGCAGGAAAAGTCAATTCAGGGGTATGTTCATTTTTCTGACCTGTCAATCTGCAGCTAATACCCGCGCATTTACAGGCGGTGACGGGTCTGGATCGGTTTTGTGAAGAAGAAGGAGGGAAGAGAGAAAGAGAGAGGAAGAGGGAGAGGGAGAGAGAGGGAGAGAGAGAGGGAGAGAGAGAGAGAGAGAGAGAGAGAGAGAGAGAGAGAGAGAGAGAGAGAGAGAGAGAGAGAGAGAGAGAGAGAGAGAGAGAGAGAGAGAGAGAGAGAGAGAGAGAGAGGGAGGGAGAGGGGAGGGGGTGTACCCAACTGTGACGGCTGCTGTGAGGCACCACGCGCGCACGTCCCGTAGGACGGCACCGACACGAGACGTTAAGCCGGGCAGCACGACCCCGGTAGCCGCCCGGGAGCCGGGCCCGACTCGTTTGCATAAATTGGCGCGCACGACGGCGCAGTGCCTAGCCTCCTGTGTAGGCCTCCGGGCGGGTGGCAGTTTTGATACTGTAGAATTTTTAACGCGTTCTTTTGCCGGCTATTCTACAACCAGCCTCCCAGAGAAGGTTTGTAGCAGCTTTTTTCGTGCCGAATGGAAGCAGGCTTCGTGGCGGGTACGAACCTTCTCTGGGCGGCTGGTTGTAGGATGGCCGGAAAAGGAACGCGTTAAAAATTCTATACAAAACGCAGTATCAAAACTGCCACCCGCCCGGAGGCCTGTACAGGAGGCTAGCGGTGGCAGCTCGCTCGCTCGGCGGCTGAATTGCGATGCATGGCGCGCATGATGCGATTTGGCTGCGCGAAATTGATCACATGACTCGGGGCCCCCGTTAGGTGGGTCCCCCCTGAAGGGTAGTACTCCTTCCCGCACGCACTCTCACACATGTACGCGCCTCGCGAAACTACAGGACACCACAATTCGCAAGCGACGTACGTAGAACTAGCCACCGCGGATGCGATGTTAAACCATTTAATTCAATATTTGTAGCCAGACAGGGCGGCCAATTTGGGGTGAAGCGCATCGATTTCTGTCGATTTTCTATTAGGATGTGGTCTTGTTCAACTGTACCGATCCTACCTCCCGTTCACATGTCACCACGGACACCTTACACACTCAACACAGCGAGTAACAAACTACTAACCGTCATACAAACAAAGCTGACAACATGCTAGGAATACCTCTAGAGCTACACGCTTGTTAGTGTGTGAGGTAAAAGCCTTTTTTACACGCGCAAGTTGGAGAATTTTACTACTACACACGCGTATACAATCCTGTTAAACCCTTGGTACAAGCGTGGTACGCACACACATATTATCCCTTACCAAGCACCAAGAGGCCCCCTTGAAATAAGGCATGCAGGCTGACCACAGATGGCATGGGCACCTCGCCTTTCGGGATGCATATGCTGACGATTATTCACTTATTTACTAATAAGCGTTTTGTTACTACGCTTGGGGCTAGCGTAGATTTGTATTACCCGTGAGCGAATGTAGCTTGGCGTGACATATCCAATTTCTAACCCCTATCGGCTAATACGCGTGTATTAACTTCGCCCCAAATCAAAGTCTACATGATTGTAAGGTTTATGAATGAGTGTAGTCAGGGATTTTGCTCTCTTTCCAGGTCCCTGCATCGGAATTTCACCGCGAACCACCTGCTACCCATGACCCCCTTCGGCAGTGACGTCAGGACGGGGCTTGTGGAGCTGCGCGGCGGGCTAGTGCGCAGGAGGTGGTCTCCAGCTGTCTAAACATAATACGTACGTAGGCCATGGAGGAACCAGCGCACCGCTATTCCGTACGCTACCGGTGCTCTTAAAACCCACGACGTGCTTTAAGATTCCTCGGTGTAGCAGGCGGAGTAGCAGGACCAGAACGTTAGCAAGCTGGCCGTATGGGTGAGTACGGGCTTCCGCGCCATGCAGAGTGAGTTAGGGTTGGACACGATGGGGGACTTGCACGGGGGTTCCCACAGCACGGAACAAGTGCAGTCAGGTGAACTGCTGAGCGGTCATAGTCCGCATAATGAGGTGTCCGTCAGCCGGCCGCTCAGTCTGTCGAACAGCTTATCGGGACTGGTCGATCCAGACTACCGACCGCCCAGTCTGCAGGACCCGACCTTCCAGCCGGTCCCGCCGCACCCCAGCATCAGCCCGGTGCCGATCTGCGAAGTGAACATGGCCAGCTCCGCGGCCGGTCTGCCGTCCTACACCTCCTCGAGTTTCACGACTTTGACGCCCCTGCAGCCCTTGCCTCCCATCTCCACCGTGACGGGGGACAAGTACCGCACCAATGTCAGCGGGTCTTTCACCCTCATGCACCACCACCATCACCAGCCGCCGCCGCCGCCCAACCTACACATGAACCACATGCAGACGCCCTACGACAAGATGCCAGGCATGGGACAGAGCCTCTCCCCGGTCTCCAACCCCATGATGGCCAACGGGCTCGGCGGGATGCAACACACGGGGCACCTCCAGCAAGCCATCCCCCCTTACGGACACTCGCCCCCGAGTAACGGACTGGAACACCACGCTAAACTCATGGGAAACGGCTACGATCACCAGATGCTACCTCACACCCAGCCCGTCCCCAGCCCCCCGGGGCTGCACCACCCCCACCCCCAGAACAATCGGATAACGCAGCTCTCCAACCCCGTCGTGACGTTCAACGGGTACGCCAACCACCACACCCCCCACCCCCAGTCCGCCTCCCCGCCCGCCTCAGCCTCGTCGCGTGACCGTAGCTCCTCCAAGACGTCTTCCACGGGAGAAGTCGAAGAGATCAACACCAAAGAAGTCGCCCAGAGGGTGACCAGTGAACTCAAACGTTACTCCATACCCCAGGCGGTCTTTGCGCAGAAGATCCTCTGTCGGAGTCAAGGAACTTTATCCGACCTCCTCCGCAACCCCAAGCCCTGGAGCAAACTCAAGTCCGGCAGAGAGACGTTTAGAAGGATGTACAAGTGGCTAGAAGAGCCGGAATTTCAGCGCATGTCAGCACTACGGCTTGCAGGTGAGAAAAAACAAACTTTTCTCTCTCTTAAGTTACTTTTTAATCCCCCGTCCCCACTTCCGTACGGTAGCCTATAGCCACGGTAGTTGGCACGTGAATTCAGGAGGGTCTAATTTTTCTCTGGCATTCTTACTTGAGTGGATTGACACCAAAAGAAATCCCTGGCATTTAAACCTTTTTAACGAGGGCACGCTAGACATAATTCATTTCTAGGTTTACGTCAAAACAAAAACAAAAGATTTGTCATGCAAACCCGGATGAGGATTGGCCTCGAAAGCCGGGCCAGACGGACGTAGGGAGTTTGTTTTGAAATCTGCGGTTTCGTAAATAAAAACACAGTTTTAAGAGAGGCAGAGAGAGAAGAAACAAAACTCGTGGCAACGCTGTAGTAAAAGGTTTCAATAAATACCCCCAAAGGGCGCGTGCTTTTGTACGACCCCCTTTTCTAAGCCCCGCTAACATCCTAGTAACGTCCGGGTACGCACGGGACACCCACATATACGGGCCGGTCCCAAAAAAAACGTGATGTACTCCTTCTATTGAACGTACCGTAGCGAAAATCTGTAGCCAGTATAGGTAATCTTTATGTTGTCACCCCGCACGAGGTTTCATTGTAAAGTATATAATAATATGATCACACTTGCGGGGTCGGGCCGGGGCAGTCACACACTGCCACAGTCTGGCGGGGCAGATTGGCAAGATGGATTGGGTAATGAAAAAGCGTATTATTAATAGGCGTCATGCGAAAATCGGGGGGCCATTATATTATATTTCCCCCGTATCTTTCTACGTGTACGATATATCCTTCTAGTATGTGTGTGTGTGGAACACATTAGATTTTCCCGCCAAAATAGTAGTACTACAGCTTTGAGAGAGAGTGGTAGTATATTTTGCAGCGGTGTGTGTTCCGAGAGTGGTGTATGTGGCACGTTTGAAGCAGGGGCCTTTTACGGTTGGTTGGGTACCAGATGCCACCATTCCCCATTCGGTACGGCACGGCAAGCGTCAGCTGGTGCTATAAAGGACGGGACACCCTAGCTCAAGCCTCTTGTTTCCCTAATTTCCAACGATAATATCGCCCCTCTAGACCAACCCCCTTTCTGTCGCTCAATTAGAAGCTATTGTTCAAGGCGGGTTCATTATTATATCGTGCCGTTTTTTTTAAAGAGCAGTACCCACCCCTTTTTTCCCGGGGTTTTCATGCATAACAAGAGGGTTACGGTGGTTTGGAGCCGGGCCGCCCCTCGGCTGACATTCCCTGATTTCTGACGACCGTTTTTCCCTTCATTTGACGGGTCAACCGCCGTATGGGGATCGTAGCACGCCGTCCAATAACTCTTCTTCAGCTGTAGTGTGTGTACACACGCACCATTGTGGTAGGAAAGGAAGGATATTCGGCGCACCGACCGAAAAATTGTATGATTCAGTGATTTCCCTGGGTGTGTAGAGCCGGGCTCGGGCGCACAGGTCAATTTTCCGGGCTTCTCATAAACCGAACGCGCCCCTACCGCTTCCTCCGGACACACCTCGCTAAACCCGGACCCAGAAAATTATTTAATCTTCATCTTTCTCCGAGGCCGTCCCAACAGGGCGCTAGCGCGAGGCAAAAATCCCCCACGCTGCCCGACCTTGTTTCATTCACACTCGTGAGTCTAGTTCTCAAATTCATTCCCCCGCATTTTCTACCCGGCAATGTTTGTTTATTGAATCATCTCACTAGGTGTCTTTTCCCTGGTGGTTTGCATTAATTAACCGGCGCGTCTTCATTAAGAAAACCTCGTCTAGGGGAGCTTAAAATTTCTATATCCGCTGTATAATCTTATATCATCAAGAGAGAGAAAGAGGGGCACATGCCGAAACATCGGGCGGTGAACGAGAGGTTTTCTGGCCGCTTGGCTCCCGTATATCCCCGTACAGATCATAACTGACGCGCCGACGTAAAATGACGTATGGGGGAGATTTTTGCCGCAAGTGCGTGTAGGGACAGGCGCAATTTGTAGATACGTTCTGTGTCAAACTCAGTAACGTTACTATCAATTTCTTACACAGAATGTTCCCTAGACCGAATCAGCCACATTTCTGAGCGTAAACGTGCGTTATTTTACACGTTGTAGCAACAATATACACCGTATATCGTTTCATACCCCACAAGTACAGTCAAAACCTGAGCAAAAACATTAAATTCTGACCAAAAGAATCAATTAACGGCACAAAAACCATTCGTGGAAATGTACGTGTGTATCTAGTTACAGTATTATATAACACGTATACCCCCCATAGGTTACACAGCAACCGCTGATAAAGAAATATACATACGGCGACCAGCTTGGCAGGCCCCGGGCTAGTATCAGCGAGATACCCACTAATAGCTGTACAGGTGTATCTCTAACGTGCTCATTGCTGTATCTGTATAGCTTCTTCCGTCTCAATTCATTCAGAGCATTACCTAGAGGCTTGTAGGAGCGTAGGTGGTGCGACGGTTATGTTCGAATGTTGGCCGTTATGTTCAAATGTTATTGTAGCGGGTTTCTCCACGTGCTCTGTAGAGATAGTGCCGTGGTCTTTTATGTGGAGGGAGGATTTGAGTGGATTTATTTTGTGTGTGTGTGGTGTGTGAAAGGGTCTTGCTTGTATCGTATTTTGCAGCTGACTATCTAACTGTGTCCGACTAGCGCCCCGTAGGTTAAAGAGTTGGGATAGCTCGTTGACACGTTTTGGATGTAAATCTAGCTTGAGATGTCAAAGTACGTTCTAACCCACAAACTCGCGCAAAATATAGATCACACAACGTTTGAAATACCAATTTCTCAAAGCTGTTGTTCTTATTAGATGAAACTTAATTTGTGAAACATCTCCTGTACATAAGACTCAAGGACGACCTAAAATGTGGATAAATTTCTCAGACAACTCTTTTTAGCTCACACATATATTAATTATTACTGGATGAAACTTAATCAAAGATTTGAAACTGTTCTCTAGATGATATAAAACTGGGGGTAACTTATAGTTCTAATGGATTAATTCCTCAGACAAGTTGTAAAGACACAGTTGTAAAGATGTCGCGAAAGATAAATATTCAAAAAGAACACCTGCACCAAATACCCGCACTTTGTGGTTAACGCAAATGCATCTGTTATGACTTTATAACATGTGGGTACTGTGAAAAAATTAGTACAGACATAAAGACCGGTTTTCCTTGTCTGCAAAAGTCGCATATGTCGCAACGCCCTTACGTGTGGCACGTGCAGATCATAACGATTTCTCTCGCTCGGTAACTTTCTCACAGACCCAAGGATCGCCTAACACCTTTACACACAGGACGCCGCTTTGTTCAAAGAAGCGTAAAACTAGAATCGTATTCGCCACGTCCCCGGCTTTAAAACGACGGTACCGTAAAGCCACAACAGTGAGACTGGCTACTAGGAGAAGACTTCTGGTAGAGATACGGGACGGGTTGGCTTCTTTCGTATGCGGCACACGCCTAGAAGGGACGGATTGTGATTCACAGCTTCGTACAAAATTGAAGTATGTCGATAATTATGTTCTTCCATGTCACTGAGTGCGTCTTGCCCCCTTAAATTTCCTCTCGCTACGGTGGCGATTTCCCCGGCACTACGACCACCTGCGAATCGGAATTAGTAGCCCAAACCTGCCCCCGACGCCTTTGAAATGATTTCAAACAATTAAGGATACATTTCGCTTGTTTGAAATGTAAATATTTGGCGTCAAAGCAGAGTGCCGTCGCGAAGCACATATATACACCAATGTGTCCGATTCCAGCACTATACTTGATAACCTATGGCTTGTTTTATACTACGAAGTACCTCCTGCATGATTTTACATTAGTTTCAATTAAGGAACTAATATTTGCCAACAGCACAAGATCATTATTAACTACAGACAGGCTACGTCCAAAATCCTGTTGTTTTTTGTTGTTTTAACTGTGTTATTTAATTCTTAAGCCTCTTTTGCTCGCAAACTTAAGGGCCGTGCGAAAAGTAAATACTCGAGCGAGTGGGCTTATCTCAGCTGAATTGATGTTTTTCACGGTATATTGTTCATTCTAAACGGAGTGCATAAAACACACATAAAGCCAAATCCCGTCCGTTTTTACGTTAAGAGGTATTGAAGTCAATTGTGCAAGTCGGTATAGCGCCACGTTATATAGCCTGCACGTTATATAGGCGTTCTTAAAACACTGTACTTGTATAAATACTACGTCCAACATCGTATAACCAACATCAGAAGTTATTGTATCTGTGTGCACTTTTTTGGTTACCTGTGGTCTTCTGTGTGTAAATGGTAGGCGTTTGGCAAAAACTGGAGTGTTTGAGGTGTAAACTATTGCAGGCGAAAACAAATATATTTGATAGATTTTCTGCGAATTACAAGGCCAGAGCGGATAGATTGTTTGCGTTTATGGTTTCCCATTCCTTTTTATGTGAGCGTTGAATGGTGAGAATTTTGCTAGGTGTTGCGTTCGAGCGATTTAAAGGTGGGTGGATGTGAGGGGTGTCGTTTAGCGACAGGGTCAATTTGTTTAAGGCTTCGGCTGAACACGTATGCTTGTGTCAATACTAGCTGTACCTTCTGATGTCAACCTGTTTAAATCCTTCTGTTTCATCCTTAACACTTCCTCAAAGAAACCCGACGTCTTCTGCATAACTCAGACCCAAACAACCTACTTAAGGCGCAACTTAGAAACAAAAGAATTGCGAAGAAATGTAGAAAAAATATCACATTGTACACACGCCATTCGCGCCACTTTAAAACGTAATTTAACAGCAATAGGTAGTTAGCTGTTATGTTAATGATAACCATAACTTAGCTGAAAACTATTCAAAACTTGATAGTTATGCCTCCTACGTGTATGTTATAAGCAACTTGGGATTCTATTTGAGAAAGTTCTTACGTTACTTCTTGTGTAATGCACTAAAAGGGAAAGTTTAATTTGTTATAATCTTTTTCTCTTCGCAATGCAAACAGATTAAAATGCGCAT